AGCAGCAGCAGTAGCCGTGGTGGTGGTGGTGGTGGTGGTGGTGGTGGTGGTGGTGGTGGTGGGAGTAGTGGAGGTGGTGGGAGTAGTGGAGGTAGTGATAGTGATAGTGGCAGTGAGAGCAGCTGCAGCAGCAGCAGAGAACCGCAGAACCGAGTACCTGCACCTAGAATCCCCAATAACCAGTGCAGATCTCCTTCATCTTTGCCTGCATCGGGGTTTTGCAAGAGAAGACCTTCTCGCACAAGAACCCGTCCAGCCGCATTGCCTGTCCAGAGGCCCTAAGGCACAATAGTCTGCCAGAAAACGCAAGCACTTCTCTTGTCCAGCCTCGGCTGTCACAGGCACGCTGCACCTGTGGTGAGGCTGTGCCCGGATTGAAGGGATTGCATTGCGAGGCCATGCACATCCGACCTTCATGTTTCCTCCCTGCAGTCGAAGACGTGTGCCTGCCAACATGACCTCGGGCACCAGAGAGCTCAGGGCAGGGAAAGGCCGGGAGAAGAGCTCTGACGGGAACAAGCTTCTTGTAGCTTAATATGGCTTGCACATCTCGCACGAGCTCTTCATACACCTGCTGTGACCTGGAGCCCGCGACTGAGACCCCATCCGGGGCCCAGTGCCCAGAGATGACGCGTGGCAAGACCAAAGCCCCACCCTCCCAAAATCCATCCTTGGGCGTCTTAGTCTTAGGATGCAGCCGGTTGGGTCGACGCCGTCCAAATATGCACATCCTCCAGCAGGTCCTCGAGTCCTCGGACAGACGCAGACTGCGGAGGAAGCATTGCTCAGCATCGTTGGATATCGTGAGCGTCGTTCTCGTGTGCTTCCATGCCACGTTGCACTTTTGGCCTAATCGACACTAGTAACTAGTAGCAGCCTACTCAGACTGGGTAGTCAAGACATGTAAACCTTGCAAGCTTCAAGTCTCAAGCCAGCAAGCTGCAGCCGTGCCTGCTTGAAACGGCACACGGCGGCCAAACAGCTGCACGAGGGCTGCTTCCTGCAGAAAAAGCATGACACAGCGGCCTCGGGCCTTGACATCCACATGCACCCCGGTCCCTCCACCAGACAAACTCGCTTCATCTCAGCTAAATATGGCTCGAGCAACTGTCCCACCTTCTCCTGACTCTGGATCCTGCGCCCATCTGCCCCATGGTCACTACCACCACGGTCTTCCAGGCGTCGGGCAGGCACCTTAGTGGTCTTTGGGTGCACGCGAAACCGTTGACCGTTGGGAATTGCCCGTGCTTTGCTCAGGTTGAGACAGCTGACGACTGGGTGGACGCGAATGGACGCAGGCAAGAGAAATCAGAGAACGAACCTGGCAAAGATTCCAGCAAACCTAAAACGATAGGAGCAGCTTCACAAGCGGAAGAAACGGCTTCGGCCTACTGTTGAGCGGGAAGCATTGCAGCAAAGCTCCAGCCGGTCCTCCACAGGAGTCCGAAAATCACTTTGGGAGTTGACAGTTTGGGTGCTGAACGGTTTGCTGGATTCATAATTAAAACGGCCAGCCTTCGCGGGCCGCAGGGACTCACACCGATCCGGCCGCGGCAGTTCAGGCACCTGCACGTTGGAAGGCACTTACACCAAAAGCCCAGAGGGTGCAGGGAGACTGTAAACCCCATGAACAGCAATCAGAATCGTGATTGCATCGGTTGCGATGCTGATGATAATGATCATAATGAAGACGTTGACGGCGATAATTCTCCTCGCCACGACCATCATCGGCATCATCGCTGTGACCGCTGTGAGCTTCAGCAGCATCATGATCAGCATCACCCGACTCAGCTGCGGCATCTGCAGCAATACGGTCACAATCAAAAGCAACAATAACGACCACCAGGGTCAACAACAGCGACAACGCAACAACAACAACAACAACGACAACGACAACGACAACGACAACGACAACGACAACACCAACACCAACACCAACACCACCACCACCACCACCACCACCACCACTACGAATTCAATTGGACGCTGCGCGAGCGGGCTCAGCGCGTAGCGGGCATGTAGCCGCCTTGGCACTCACAGCAGTGAAACCGACCGAAAAGAGTCGCGAGTTAGCAAGTTCAGAGAGTAGCCA